ACTATTATTCAAACATAAGTGCCAACCACTAAAACCAAAGATAAAGAAACTGAGGATTTCTACTGACGTATGCAGCCTGAAATTTGTCAAATATGCAATCAAGATGCATTAGTAATAATAACAACTATAATGTTAAAGTTGGAAACAAGGTATAGTAGTGGGAAAACATGGCCTTGGTGACAGAAATGAAGCTGAAAATCTGATGATAGAATTTTATGCAATAAATGACGCATTCATTGTAATACTTTTAAAAAACACTAATATCAACTATACACATAGACTTCACCTGAATCATATTGAGTATATCTATGGGACAAGGCAATGGAGAAGCTCAGTGTCAGCAGTCAGAACAAGGCCAGGGAGTGACTGTGGAACAGACAAGTAAACAATATGCAAGTTCAAATTAAAACTGAAGAGAACCTAACAAATCCATGAGAACCAAAATATGACCTTAAACTTAATCCACCTGAATTTTAAAATTGTCTCAGGAATATACATGATGCTTTGAACACTAATGACTGAACACCATACAGGTTATGGAACGAAATAAAGAATATCATCCATGAAGAAAGCAAAATGCCATTACAAAGACAGGGGACTAAGAAGACTAAGACTAAAACAAATGTCAGAAAAGACTCCAAATCTTGCACTAGAGCACAGAAAGGCCAAAACAAAGAGAAGAAATTCTGAAATAAGAGAGATTGTTCCAAAGTTCAGCTCAAGAAGGCAAACCAAACTATTTTAACAAAAATGTGCAAAGATCTAGAATTAGAAAATCAAAAGGGAAAAAAATCAAAAGGGAAGAACATTCTCAGCATTTCTCAAGCTGAAAGTACAGAAGAAAAATAATTTAAAGTTCAAGTTGAAAGTTGAAGGATTATACATACAAAATCTTAAATGATGCAAGACCCATAAAAATCATAAACATAGGATCGGGGAAGATAGAAATAATATATATTCATTGTACAAAAAAAAATGGTCAACACAGAAACATTTCAGGAGGTAACACACGAATGAATCAATTGTACTAAAAGAAGAATTCCAAGATGCACTGAAGTCATTGGATAATTAAAGCACCAAGTATTGATAGAATACCAGTTATGGTCTTCTGGCAAGCAGATGCAGCTGTAGATGCCTGATGTGCTCACTAGTCTACGCCAAGAAATTTAAAAGACAGCTACATAGTCAATTGATTGGAAGAAATCCATATTTATTCCCATTCTATAAAATGGTCATATAATAGAGTGTACAAATTATTTAAAAAATCATTAATATTACATACAAAGGAATATTCTTCTAAGTGTCCAGCACTCTTCTGTCAATTTGCTGTTCTAAGGTAATCTGTGCTTGCTGTGATGCTAAACCTTGTGCCACTGAGGGGTCAAATGCCATAATATCTGCCCATGGTGGACAGTGTTTAGTGGAGTTTCCAGTTTAAGGCAGGTTTGGAAGCAGGAATGGCATCCACTTCCTAAACCACATTTCTCTGGAAACTCTATGAACTTTGAGAAATTACTATAGTTATAGAAAGACTTCAGGCCTTTTGTTCATAGGGTCACTATGAGTCATACTCAACTCGACAACAATCAACAACAACAAAGTAACTCTTGCTCAAGATTATTAAAAAACTACTGGAACAGCAGCAGCAACAGGGAGCAGCCAGAAATTCAGACTGGATTGAGAAGAGGCTGTGGAATGAAGAAATATCGTGGCTGATGTCAAATGGATTTTGACTGAAAGTAGAGAATACCAGAAAGATGTCTAGTTGTGTTTTACTGAGTATTCAAAGACATTGGACAGTGTGAATTATAATAAATTATAGCTAACACTGAGACAGAATAGAAATCCCAGAACATTTAACTGAACTCAGGTGAAGCCTGTGTATAGACCAACAAACTGCTGTTCAAACAGAACAAAGCGATACTAAACGGTTTAAAATCAGGAAAGGTACACATCATAGTTGTATGCTTTCTCTAAACCTCTTCAGTGTGTATGCTGAGCAAATAATTTGAGAAACTAGACTTACATAGAATGTGTTATCAGGATTGGAGAAAAAATCATCAATAACCTGCTTGATGCAGATAGTATAACCTTGCTTGCAGAAAGTGAAGAAGACTTGAAGCACTTACTGTGGAAGATCAAAGGTTATAGTTCTTCGATGTGGATAATATACTAACATCAAGAAAGCATAAATTCTCAAAACAGAATCAGTAGGCAACATTATGTTCGATGGAATAAAAGATTGAAGTTGTCAATGATTTCGTTTTACTTGGATCCAAAATAAGCATCCATAGTAACAGAAGTCAAGAAATCAAAAGATATGTTGCATTGGGAAAACCTGCTGTCAAAGACCTTGTTGAAGAGCAAGGATGTCAGTTTAAAGTCTAAGGTCTGCCTGATTAAAGACACAGTATTCTTTCAATACATGTGAAACTTGCATAATGAATAAGGATTACAGAAGAGGAACTGATGTCTTTGAATTGGGTGTTGGAAAAAATATTGACTATCTCCCATGGATTGCCAAAGAACAAGCAAGCCTGTCTTGGATTAAATTCAACCAGCGTATTCATTAACAGCAAGAATAGTGAAACTTTGTCTCACAAACTTTGGGCATGTTGTCTGGCGATGCCAGTCCTTGGGAAAAGATGTTTTGTTGGGAAGGGTAGAGGGTCTTTGAAAGAAAGGAAGGCCCTCCTCAACATAGACTGACACAGTGACTGCAACAACGGGTTTAAGATTGGTAGAGATAACAACCTAAGTACCCATCAACAAATGAATGGATAGAGAAGCTGTGGTATATTCACACAATGGAATACTACACTGCATTGAAAAACAAGGAACTCATGCAATACTATTCAAAATGGGTGACCCTCGAGGACATTAAGCTGAGTGAAATATCACAGCCACAAAAGAACAAACACTGCATAGTGCCACAGCTGTAGAATGGGACTGACATCAAGGTTAGGGTAAGACTGAGAAAAACTGGATGAATTATGTATACTGCATTGAAACAGATGAGTGAGAGAACAGTTTAAAAGCAATATATTATAGGGCATTATGATTATTATAAGAGCCCGGAATGAAAATTTCAGAGTAGAATATATTTGAGGTGAGGGAGGGTGCGGGAGATTGTATACCAATGAAGGAGTTTTTCTTTTACTTTACAAAGAGAAGAGCGAACAGGGGGTGGGGGGTGGGGGGGAGAAAAGTGCAACAATGAATGAATGGAAATCCAAAATCTCTGTAAATGTTCATTGAAATTAATAATAACAAAAAAAGAATGGTAGAGATAGTGAGGGAGGCACAGGATAGGGTCAGGCTTTAATTCATTGTTCACAGGATTCATAAGAGATATGGTTCATTAAATGATACCTAACAGTAACAAATCAGAATCACAGCAGAATTAAGTAAATTTTAAAATCTTAGATAAAAGATATTCCAATTCAGTTCTTCTAAATCTGTGCTTACTTCTAGAGACTTCACGTTGGGAATGCCCTTCAAGATGGACAGATATAGATAGATAGATAGATAGATAGATAGATAGATAGATAGATAGATAGATAGATAGATGATAGATAAAGAGAGAAATATAAACTACTGAAAGTTCTTATGAATGGAACCTGACACTAAGATTAATTCTTTCCTAGTTTATGGGTAAATGTTTTTAGGCTAGTAAGCTTCAAAATTTGTAGGATTTTTTAATACATTATATAGTAACTAAGCAGCTGCTGTTTTTGTTGTGATATACCTTTGAGTCAGAAGTGACCCATAGCTGACCTTTCAGCAGGTTTTCAAAAGCTGTAACTCACATGAGGAGAAGTACCCATCTTTCTCCCATAGAGTAATTGGTGGATTTGAATCTCATTCCTTTTGGTTAGCAGTGAAATTTCTTACCACCTAATCACTAGAGCTCCCAATTAAGCAATAGTTGGCAAAACAAGTATATAGAATTTGTCATTTCCCACTAAAAGAAAAGCATCATTTCTCAGGAATATTGTTTTATTTATGTCAAAGAGGTTACCTGGGCCAAGAATAAGCCAATGTTGTTGTTGATAAGTGGCATCGAGTTGCTTGCAGCTCATAGCGACCCTATGTACAATAGCCCAAAACTCTGCTCTGTCCTGTGCCAATCTGACACACCCATCTCGATTACCCTAGTCACTGAATCAATCCACCTCATAGAGGGCCTTTCTCTCCTGTGCTGTCCCTCCACCCTCCCAAGCATGATGTCCCTCTCCAAGGACGGGTCCCTCCTTACAACATGTCCAAAGTGTGTTAGACGAAGCCTCAGAATCCTTGCCTCCAAGGAGCCACCTGGTTTAACCCTCTCTGGGATGAATCTGTTTTCTTAGTGGTACCCTCAACACTCTTTTCCAGCACCACAGCTCAAAGGCATCAACTCTCCTTAAATCCTCCTTAGTCATTGTCCAACTCTCTGATGCATAACAAGTGATAGCAAAGACCATGGCCTGTATCAGGGATGTGTCCTGTCTCCATACCTTTTCAACCTGTATGCAGAACAGAATAAGCCAATAGCTGTCAAAATATTTGTTTTCAAATCAACTATGAAAAGATGGGGGAAATGGGCAATTAAAGACGGCTTTCTTTACTCCACTCCAAAATAACGTGCTGGAAATAACCATAAGCTGGATTCCTCTCCTCATAAAATTAATTTAGGGCTAAAGCCCTTCATCCTTCTGTCCAAATGATCTAGGAGAAAAAGGAGTTAGTTTAAGCTTCTGTATTAGTTGCCACCATCTCCCTGTGCCATAATATACCTATATCTAAGAGAAGCACTCAAAAATGTGAAGTTCACACTGAAAATTTTCACACTACTTTGGTACGCAAAATAAATGTCAGGATGTTAGATTATTATGAAAATTTTAATTGGAAATAAAATCGGTGAAGGATGGACATGAAAGCCAACTACTTATTTGGAAAAGAAGCTAATGCCATCAATTTCTGTATGATCATCTTTTTAAATTATTTTTCTTTTCCAGGTGGTAGATTTTTGTACATCAAAGACACACAATACAGAAGCTCCAAATTTACAAAACAAAATGTGTAACAAAAGAAGCACGTGGGAGGTAATCATGGAGTCTAGTGATTTTCAGAATCTATCTCCCATGAAAAGAATGGATCCTCCAGCTCCTCCTACATTTTCATTGCTGAAGTCCAAACAGCGAGTGGTCTGTTTGGTACTTGATAATTCTGAAAGCATGAACACAGTAAGGCACTTAATTTGCTGTCCTACATTTTATTTAAGTGAATAGAGATAATCTCATGCTTAGGTCTAATTAACTAAGATATGTACACATTTATAAGAATAATAAATTTAGTACAATACTTTTATATGAAGAAGTATAAGAAAATAATATGCTAACATAAACATAGTTTTTATGGGAAGATTATTAGTTAATAGATAATTTTTGGTAAACTGTAATTCTAAATACTTGAAAAATGTATCATTTGCATTCTGGAGGTATTGTTGTGTACTGTCAAGTTGGAACCGATACTTAGCTAGCCCTTCGTCAGATTTTCAGCAGTAAATTGCACTGAGGGAGGTCGCCCATCTTTCTCCTGTGGAGTAGCTGGTGGATACAAACCATGTACATGTACTTTGGGTTGCCAGCATAGTTCTTTGCCACTAGGCTACAGATAGTCTGTAGTAATTTGTCCTGTTAATCCAAAGGCTGTACATCTCTGGCAGTTTTAATCCACCAGCAACTCTGACACAGAAATGTGATCACTCTCCCAGTTGCTATGTAATGCCTCAGAAACCTGATGGAAGCCTATTATGAGTTGGAATCAAAAGCAGTGAGGTCAAGTTCAGATTGAACCTTTAATTAAAATTAATTTTAAAATGTAATAAAAAATTTAAAAGTTATACTTCCACCAAGTAAGCAATTATTATTGAAAATATTAATGACAGCATTTTTCACTTCATATATATTCTCCCCCAAAATGCTATATATGTTATATATACGTTCATAAACATATTTGTTAACTTAAACATTAAAAAATGTTTCTACACTACAATTTTCAATTCTGTGTCATAGCACTTTCAATAACTTAATGAAATCATCCTCTATTGTTGAACACTTTGAAGATATTGAACTTGTTAGTATTTAAAACCCTGTTTGAATTAATACCTTTACATACTTTGCCCCCTCATTATTTCCTTATAAGGAATTCCAGATTATAAGTCTATATATTTAAACAGGTATCAATTTTTCAGATATTTTTCTTAATTTATTTCTAAATTTTCTTAAACCCATTTTAATAAAATGCAAGTGTTGCATTTTAAAATACAGAAATCAATTCTTATAATGATCTATGGCCCATGAATGGCCTTCTCATAATACTCTGTTAAATATCGTACTTGATATTTGAGGAGATCATAAAGTTCTATATCTTTTTCTCACAGGACGATCGTCTCATTCGAATGAAGCAAGCAGCAGAATTATTCTTGATTCAAATTCTTGAAAAAGGATCTTTTGCTGGACTGGTTACATTTTCAGATACTGCTAAAATCCAAACTTATCTCACAAAAATATCTGATGATAATTCTTACAAAAAAATCCTTAAAAAGTTGCCTAAAAAAGCTAGTGGTGGACTTGCAATATGTGAAGGACTGAAATCAGGATTTCAGGTAAAGTAAAAATAATTTTAAGTATTATTTGGCATTTTATGCTTTTAATTTTGTCCAATTACCTTTGAATAAGAGTCACGAGCTTTAAGAACCTCTGTAACCCGATCAAGATAAAACATTCATGGGGGGAAAGTATCTCATGTGTGCATGTTAAATTTAATAAAATATTTCATTTTATAACATATTATGCTTCAAAGGGTTGCATTTTAATTATATGTATTAAGTTCTATATTGTTGTAAGTGCCATTGAGTCACTTGTGACTCATGGTAATTATATGTACAACATAGCAAGCCACCCCAATCCTCCCCACCACCCCCAGTTCTGTGCTATGATTTGTCCTATAATTAGATTTTTCAGAAGGTAAATCATTGAGAATCTTCTTCTTTTTCACTGATCTTCTACTTTTAGCAAGCATAGTGTCTTCCTCCAGGTAATAATATCTGTCCTGATACTATATCTAAAGTATAGGAGATGAAGTCTGACCATCAGATCCAACCATTATTCTGGCAGTCCATAGCATAGTCAATATTTTATGCCAACACCAAAATTCAAAGTTATCACTTCTTCAGTTTCCATTTTTCACATAGTTATAAAATAATGGAAAATACTATGGGTTGTGTCAGGTGCACTTTTAGTACTCAGAAGGACATCTTTTTAGAGTTGTCTTCCACCAAATTTGTCCAACATCATACACTGTATGATGATTTCCTGATTGCTGCTTCAATTGATGCTGATTGTGAATCCAAGTAATATTAAATCCTTGAAAATGTATTCTACAATTGGCAATATGTTTGCCATCTGTCATGATGTTGCTTATGGAGCACTTGTGAGGAATTTTGTTTTCATGAAAGAAATGAGGCTGGAGACAGAATGATAGAAATCTGTAGAATCAATGACCTGTCATTGCAAACACCTTTTATAAGAGACATAAATGGCAACCATACACATGGATTTCACCTGACTACCTACACAGAAATTATATTAACTACATCTGTGAAAAAAAAATCGTTAGAGAAGCTCATTATCAGTTGTGAAAACCAGGCCAGGTACTTATTATAGACCATCAACTACTCCTATGCAAGTTCAAGCTGGAGCTAAAGAACGTAAAATCAAATCCACAAGAACCAAAGTTTGATGTGGAGTCTATCCCACCAGAATTAAAAGACCATGTCAGGAATGAGTTTGAAGCCTTGAGCACTTATGAGCAAAGACCAGATGAGCTGTGGGAGGATATCAAGAATATCATTCATGAAGAATATAAAAAGTCACTGCAAAGATAGAGGAGCAAGAAAAGAGCAATAGGGATGCCAGAAGAGATTCTGAATATTACACTGCCATTCTGAGAAGCCAAAGAAAGGAGAAGAAATCAAGAAGTTAAGGAGCTGAACAGAAGAGTTCAAAAGGTAACACAGGAAGACAAGCAAAGTATTATAAGGAAATGTATAAAGAGCCGGAGTTGGAAAATAAAAAGGTCTGAACTCACTCAGCATCTCCTAGGCTGAAAGAACTGAGGAACAAATTTAAGCCTCAAGTTGTAATACTTCATTCAGGGTGCTGATGGCAGAATATTGAATGACCCAGAAAGCATCAAAAGAAGATGGAAGTAGTACACAAGAGTCAGGGACGTATTCTATCTCTGTACCTCTTCAATCTACATGCTGAGCAAATTATCTGAGAAATTGAACTCTATGAAGAGGACTGTGGCATCAGGTTTGAAGGGAAACTCAGCCATAACCTGTGTTATGCAGATGACACAACTGAACATGCTGAAAGTGAGGAAGACTTGAAGCACTTGTTGCGGAAGATCAAAGAATGCAGCCTTCAGTATGGATTGTGTCTCAATATCAAGAAAACAAGGATTCTTATGACTGGACTGATAGACAACATCATGATGGATGGAGAGGAGAGTGAAACTGTCAGCAGCTTCATCTTGTTTGGATCCACAATTAACATCCTTGGTATGAACAGTCAGGAAATAAGGAGATGCATTGCACTGGGAAAATCTGGAGTTAGGGACCTTTCCAAAGTATTGAGGAGTAGTGATGTCAGTTTGAAGACTAAAGTGTGTCTGATTCAGGCCATAGTCTTTCTGATTACTAACTATGCATCCAAGACCTGGACGATGAATAAGGAAGGATACTAGAAAAGAAATTGACACTTTGAGCTGTGATGTTGGAGAACAGCACTGAACATCCTATAGACAGCCAAGAAAACAAATAGATATGTCTTGGAGAGGGTGCAGCCAGAGTGTTCTTTGGAGGCAAGAATGATAAGGTTTTGCCTCAAATACTTTGGACATGTTGCTAGGAGATGCTGTTCCTTGGAGAGGGACATGATGTCAGGAAGAGTGGAGGGTCAGCGGAGGAGAGCAAGACCTTCAACCGGGTGGATTGACACGGTGACTGCGGTAATAAGCTCTTCTGTGTCAGTGTGAGGATGGTGCAGGACAGAACAGGGTTCTTGACAGCGCCTAACAACAACAGCTAAGCCATAATACTTCCAAACATGTCATATGTATGTGAATATCAGATTACAAATAAAGAAAACCCAGGAAGAACTGACACCTTTGAACTATGTGTTTGCAAAAAATACCAAATTTACCATGAATTGCCAAGAAAGAAGACATCACATTTGTTAAAGCAGAGCAGCAGAAAAAAAGAGACCCTCAATGAAATGAATTGGCACAATGCCTGCAACAGTAGGCTGTAGTCGTTAGGACTGTAGAAAACCTGACAGTGATTTGTTTTGCTGCACATAAGGTTGTTGCGTGTTAGACCTGACTCTATGGCATCCAACAACAGAAGGGCTGGAATTTAACTTTCAAGTTGACTGAGTCCAAAGCTCTTAGTCTATTCTTACTAGAAGTAAGAAGAAGTATATTGTGGCAACTGTTAAACTTATTAAATTTTTTCATCATGACACGTTAATTTTTCTGAAAAATCTTGACATTCTACAACAGTGTACAAATAATATTCGCATAATCCACTATTTAACCTTGTAGACCTGCCTTTGATAATGATTTTGCAAATGTATCTATTTCAGTCTCTTCTTCTTCCCCCTCAAGTATCTCTTTGGATAATAATATAGCATTTGCTCAATGCTTACTGTGTGCCAGGCATTTTTTAAGTGTTTTATTCTTTTTCTCTTGAGTTGTTAGATTATAATTGAGAGGATGTGATGATTAACACTCTAGCTTTTGAAAATCTTTGAAACTATCATACATATTTACATCTACATACCAACTTAGACTGAATAAAAAAGTTTTCTTTTACTTACTCTGATATGTAAGGCTAAACACTTCTCAAAGACTAAATAAGAGTTTAAACTTAGCTTAAATTAATTGTTATTTTAATTTATTCTTACTTCGAATTTATTAATATTTTATAGTCTATAATTAATGGTCTGACTTTTCATTGTTAGGCAATTACCAAGAGTAACCAAAGTACATTTGGTTCTGAAATCATATTACTGACAAATGGGGAAGATCCTAAAATAAGTTTATGCTTTGAAGAGGTAAAACAAAGCGGTGCCATCATCCACACCATTGCTCTTGGACCTTCTGCTACCAATGAACTGGAGACACTGTCAAAAATGACTGGTAAACACTGGAATATATTATTGTTGCAGAATTTAAAAACAACAAAGCTCATTGCTGCTAATTCAGAACTGACTCAGGGCAGACTTTCAGGAAGTTTTCAAAAGCAGTGAATTACACAGGAGGAAATTATCTATCATTTTCCTGTGGAGCTGGATTTTATGGATTCAATTAGTGGTAAAGCCATTGGGTTAGAAACACAATTACTTATTCTGGACTATGTCACTAAAGCTCTGTTTGAGTTACTGTTGTTGTTGCTTTTATTAGGTGCTGTCAAGTTGACTATAACTCACAGTAACCCTATGAACATCAGGTCTGAACTCTGCATTGTCTTGTGCCATCTTCACTATCATTGATAAACTACAGTGTTACAGTCACTCTATTCATCCATCCTTTTGAATCTTCCTCTCTTTCACTGGCCTTCCACCCTTCCAAGTTTAATGTCTTTTTTGAAGGACTAACCTCTTCTAACAACATGTCCAAAATATTTGAAATCAAGTTTCATCATCCATGCTTCCAATGAGCACCTGCCTGTACTTTATCCAAGACATTTATTTGTTCTTTTGGCAGTCTTTGGGATACTCAGTAGTCTTCTCCAACACTACAACTCAAAGGTATCAATTCTTCTTCTATAATCCCTGTTCAAAACCCATTTGCTGACTCTCTCATTCCAGATTCCTTTTCCCTTTAAACTACAAAGCTGCTCAAAAAGACCCCTTCCTAAAAGTGAACTTAATTATTTCCTTATCTTTCAAATTCATATCTTCCCTCTACATTTTGTTGTCCCGTGTGTGTGTGTATGTGTGTGTGTTTATATGTTTCACCTGATACTACTGAATACGTGTTGTCTTCTTTTATCCTGTGACCACATTATGGTAGCATCAATAAACTGCAATTTCTTTCTCAGTTACTAAATCATATTCTTGTTGTTGTTGTTGTTGTTACATGCCTTCAAGTTTCCTGCGACTCAGAGTGACCCTGTGTATGATAGCATTAAACACTGTCCAACCCAAGCCATTCTCATTATCTCCAACACATCTAACCTCATTACCCCAGTTACTGTGTCAATCCATCTCATCCAGGGTCTTCCTCCCTTGTATTGTCCTTCTTCCCTTCCAAGCATGATGTCCTTCTCCAAGTACCGGTCTCTCCTGGCAACATGTCCAAAATATATGAGCTGAAAATTCAAAATCCTTGCCTTCAAGGAGAAACTTGGTTTCACTCCCTCCAAGATAAAATTGTTTGTTCTCTTGGTGGTCCATGGTATTATATTCAATACTCTTCTCTAAAACCACAACTCAAAGGCATTAATTCCTTCTTCTGTCAACCTTAGTCATTGTCCAGTTCTCTGAAGCATAGCAAGTAATTGCAAAGGCCAAGGCCTGGATTAGATATAACTTAGTCTTTTGACTGACTTCATTGCTGTTTAGCACTTTGACGAGGTCTCTGACCTCAGACTTCCCCAATATAATTTGTCTTTTGATTTTTTTAAATTTATGTATTTATTTTTATTATTAATTTTAATGAAAGTTTACAGAGACTTTGGATTTCCACTCATTCATTGTGGCACTTTCTCCCTGACCACTCCTCCCCCCACCCCCTAGGTCACTCTTCTCTTTGAAAAGTAAAAGAAAAATTCTTTCATAGTCCATTCCACTATGCAGCCTTCGTTCTGAACTCCTGTCATGACAATAACATCTAATCATATATCAGTTCTCTCCCTGAGCTGTCTACATAATTTATCCCATCTTTCTCAGTTTCCCTCCAGCCCCAATGTCATTCCTGTTTTACAACAGCAGTATTTGTCTTTTTGTGACTGAGATATTTCAATAAACATAATGTCCTCCAGAGTGACCCATTTTGTACAACATTCCATGAATTCCTTGTTTTTCAATGCAGCATAGTATTCCATTGTGTGAATATACCAGAGCTTCTCTATCCATTGTTTGTTGATGGACACTTAGGTTGTTTCTAACTCCTTGCTATTGTGAACAAAACCACAGTAAACATGGTTGTGCACATATCTGCTTGGGTGGTGGTTATGGTTTTTTGGGGGGTATATTCCCAGTAATAGAATTGCTGGGTCAAATGGTATTTCTATTTCCAACCTTTTGAGAAAGCGCCATACATAGTGGTTGCACCATTTTACACTCCCACCAACAGTGAATAAGGGTTCCAGTTTCTCCACAACCTCGCCAGCATTCGTTACTTGCTGTTCTGTTAAATTTTGCTATTCCTACTGGGATGAGATGATATCTCATAATTGTTTTCTTTTAATTGTTTTACTTCTGGTGCCAAGAGTGTTGATTGTGGACCCAATAAGCTAAAATTTTTAACAACCTCAATCTCTTATCCATCTACAAAATCTGAACTCCTTGCTAAAATTTCCTCCATTATGATATATTCTAACCAAGGTTTTATTTGGTATAGGCCTATATCTGGAACACTAATATAGTGAAAAATCTCCTGAGATTGTGGGAAGTAAATTTTTGCAAGTTTAAAAGTAAATACAAAATAAGAAAAATATAACATTTTTATTTAATATTAGTGTTCCCAAGTTAAATAAATGTCATTTCAGGAGGATATCACTTTTATGCCAATAAAGACCCAACTGGCTTGATTGATGCTTTCAGTAGAATTTCATCTAGAAGTGGAAGTCTCTCTCAACAGGCTATAGAGGTGAGAATACCAAGAAAATGATCTGATTGTTCACAGTTGCAAGACATTTCTATTAACATAAGCATTCTATTTTCTCTAGTACATAACTCTTATGCCTGAAAATATTTCAGTTGTACAAGAAAAGCATTCTTACTGACTGGTTTTTCCATGACACTCACAGTCACCTTTTCTTTTAAGTTGCTATAAATAAACATAATTATATAGCTAATTATGTAAGTACTTTTAATTGTCATCATTTAAATCTTGAAGAGAAATTTAAAATTACTCTGAACTAAATACTGAAATTATATTACCTAGATAATAAAATAAAAATTACATTAACTAAAATAATAAATTGACTTGTTTGTGCACTTTTTTAATGTAACAGCTGGAAAGTAAATCTTTCAATACTTCCGGAAACACATGGGTATATGGTAGAGTCCCTATAGATAGTACAATTGGAAGTGATACTTATTTTGTTGTCATCTGGAAGAAAACAAAACCAGAAATTTACCTTCAAAATCCAAAAGGAAAGATATATAACACCTCAGATTTCAAAGAAGATAAAATACATATTCGATCTGCCCGTCTTTACATACCAGGTATTGCAGAGGTAAGTTTAGTTTTCTTCTGTACTTTTTTAATGTCTTTTTATAGTAAGATAACTTCTTATATATTACTGACATTTTTAATATGGTATATCATCTGTTATTTTTAAATGCCAGTAATAAAAATTAATAATTCATGCTATTCTATTTATTAGATTGTAAAATTGGGTCACATCAACGTGGTATCACCGTAAAGTGGTTCTCATGGATTTAGAATGGGAAATGTCATGCTATCAACCTTAAAGGGGTTGGAACAGTCAAAAGTTGGAATACACCAGCTGCACTGCTGTGGAAAGATCAGCACTTTCCCCCTGTAAAGATTTACAGCCTCAGATATCTGATAGAGAGTGACTATGAGCTGGCAACAACTCAATGACAGTGGATTTGGATTAAGGTGATGATGCATAACATTATGGAAAGTATTCACACGGACCACAAAGGTAGACAGTATTATATACAATCCTAAATTATTAGCAATAATAAATATTCATCCATAGCTGGATATATAGACAAATAGGCAAGGAAAACAGAAATGAGCAGGTGAATGATTGGATTTTTATAGCAAATTGCTCATGTTTCTTCCACAGAGCAGCTTTGGTATTTGAATGACTGACCTTCCAGTTAGCAGTGTAACATGTAAGGCACCCTTCCACCAGAGCTCCTACTACAGCTATACATTTTCCATATAAATGACTCAACCACAACCTGCATTATGCACATGGCATAATCTTACTTGCTAAAAGTTCGGAAGACTTGAAGCACTTGCTTAAGGAAATCAAAGACTTCAGCTCTCTGCATAGATTACATTTCAACATCAAGAATACAAACATTTTCACCACTGGACCAACAGATAACATCAGATAGACAGAAAAAAGATTAAAATTATCAATGATTTCATCTTACTTAGATCCACAATCAAAATTCTCGGTACCAGCAGTTAGGATATCAGGAGACTTACTGAATTAGGAAAGCTCACAGTCAAAGACCTCTTTGCTATGCTCCCGAAAGCTGGACAATTAAAAAGATGATAGGCAGAGAGCTGAGGCCTTTGAGACATGGTGTTGGAGAACAGTACTGCATATACCATGGACTGCCAAAAGAACAAATAGATAGATCTTGGAGAAAATGCATTCAGAATGCTCCTTGAAGGCAAGACTGGCAAAGCTCTGTCTCACATACTTTGGGCATGTTCTTCAGAGCTATCCCTTGGAGAAGAACATCGTGCTTGGAAAGGGAGGTGAAATGGAGCAGGACCTTTAACAAGATGCATTGATATAGTGACTGTAGCAATGGGCTCAAGTATGTCAGAAATTATGAGGATGGCACAAGATAAGACAAGGTTCATATCTATTTGTCATAGTATCATTACAAGTCATACTTGATTCAGTGGCATCTAACAACAATAACATAGCACTGAGGGAGCTCTGCAAGCCTACTGGGTAGGTAGTAGCACTATCAGCTCAAAGGAAGGCAGTTTGGATCTACTAGCTGCTATGTGATATAAAGATAAATGATCTACTCCTGTATAATTGCTTTTGTTGTTATGTGCTGTCAAGTCATTTTCAAATCACAGCAACCCAGTGTATAACAGCTCTGAACTTTTTCTATCTTGAGCCAATTTCATTGTCTCTGACACACTGACCTCCATTACCCCAGTCATTGGGTTGGTACATCTCCTCCAGGGTCTTCCTCTCCTGTGCTGTCCCTCCAACCCTCCAAGCATGATGTTCTTCTCCAAGGACTTATCTCTCCTGGAAACAAGCCAAAATATGTGAGATGGAGCTTCAAAATTTTTGCTTCCAAGGAACAGCCTGTTTTCACTCTCTCCAAGTCAGATCTGTTTGTTCTCTTAGCAGTCCATGGTATATTCAATACTGATTTCCAGTACCACAACTCAAAGGCATTGATTCTTCTGTCATCCTTGGTCATTGTACAGCTCTCTGATGAGTAGCAAATAATTGCAAATACCATGGCCTGGATCAGGCACACCTTAATCTCTAGACTGACATCATTGCCCTTCAGTACTCTGGAGAGATCTCTGACTGAAGATTTTCCCAATACAATTTGTCTTTTTTTCCTAGTTACTGGTACCAAGGTGTTGATTGTGGAGCTAATCAAGCTGGAGTTGTTAACAATATTAATCTCTTCTCCATCTATGACAATGGTGCTAATTTGCCTGGAGAGAACCTTTAGTTTTTTTATGCTGAGCTTCAATACATATTGAAGACTGCAGTCCTTGACCTTGTGTAGCAAATGCCTCATGTCTTCCTCAGATTCAGCAAGTAGGGTTGTGTCATCACAGGTTGTTGATGAGTTTTCCTCCAATCCTGATGCCACATTCCTCTTCATATAGTGCAGCTACAGCCTCTGAAAATCTACTGCCGGGTCAGCTATGAGTCCATTCCAACTCAACAGCAGTGAGATTTTGTGGAGAGTATGTATGTCAGTATAGCAATACTGAACTGAAGCATGATGGACATTGTGAGGATCACGCAGAACCAGGCAAGGTTTGTTCTCAGGGTCACTGTGAGTCATAGTTGACTGCATGGCACCTGACAACAACAACA